ATGTTCTGTCACTGCTGCCCCATGCCCCTCTCTGTGTGCTCACCTTCTGAGCTCATTTGCATTGGGGAATCTCTTGATGAGCTCCACAGTGTGCCTCTGTCTAATTTAGCTCGTGCTTTCTCATTGTCTGTCCATATGCCTAGCTGATAGTCTCCCTAAATGTTCCATTGTGAATTCAGCGGTCCTCCAGTTAAGTTTATTGTTGTCCTCTTCTGTTCCGATTTTCTCTGTTGAAGGTGTCTGTTACCCTTTTTGTCGCACAGAGGTGGTACTTCTGGTTTCTTCTAATTCCATTCACTTTCAGTCCTGTTCAGTTTATTTCCTAGCTTTTATTTATTCCTTCATACTTTTCTTTTTTCCCCCTGATGTTCTTTGTCTTCCAGTTGGCTTGTTTGAATTTCATTCTTTTCTTAGCTTAATCTCTCCTGGCTCAAGAATTTTCAAGAGTTTGGTATTCCTTTGTGAATAGAGTTCAAACTCCTCAACTGTGTGAGTTCTTACATTATTTTGGTCCTGCTTTATTTTTCTGTCCTGGCTTGCCACTCTTTTTCCTGAACAATGAATACCTCTGGACTTTGCTCTTCCTGTATTTCTCTTGTGGCTTTGCCTCACCTTCCAGTAATCTTCCTCTGATTATAATAGCTTTAGTTTTCTCTCAGATTTATATCTTCTAGTTTTTAGAGAGATGTGTAAGTAGTAATTTTCTGTCTTCTCACTGCTTCATCTTTATTTTACCCCTTCTTAGATTATAGGGAAGTCTGTAGTGAGATCGTGTTCATGTCATCCTTGCTGTAGCTCCTAGCATGGCAACTCATTCATACCAAATAGCAGCTAATAAACTGGAAGTAGTGAGTATTGGAGGATACATGTTTAAGATAAATCTTAAATTCTCACTATGTTGCTTGCTTCAAATTGAGAAATTTGATGTTTAGTGTTTTATACATATTCATATAAGAAAATGATAATAGGAGCTAATAGTGTTAAATTTGTATATATGATGTGATTTTTCATAGACATTAGGATGGAAATTAGATGAATTAAATCCTTCTTTGGAGAATCTCATTTTTCCAACATAGTTACCTATTGGCTACCTACTAATTTGTAATCTTTGTCCCCTAATGGAAAAAGTTTGACTCATTAGTTTGTAAAAGCACAATTAATGCATTAAAGTTTCAGGACCATATAGTTAAGGAGAAATGATATTTGCTTAAAGATTAAAAATAGTACTTTAGGGGCTGGGGAGCTGGCTCAGTAGAATAAGCACTTCCCTGGCAAGTGCAAGGTCCTGAGTTCAGTCCCTGGTTCTGCAAAAAAAAAACCCCAACAACTTTGAAGTACAATGTTAGCATCACGCCATATTAAATTATACTGGGCAGTGATAAAGGATGACTAAAGATGAACAATGAGCATTGCTAGAAGAGAGTAGCAATGTGAGTATTTGCCTCATAAGTATATTCCAGAAATTAAAGTTTGTAAGGAATATTACCAACTTTGCATGCAGGGTCATGCTTCCTACTCTTTCTTGGGGGAGGGGCAGGTGGCTGGGTTTTGGGACAGTCTCACTATGTATTGAAGGCTGATCCTGAACTTATGTAGCTCAGGCTGGCCTTAAACTCATGGAGATCCTTGTCTCAGCCTTTGGAGTTCTGGGTTTATAGGTGTGCACCACCATATCCAGCTCTTCCTACTCTTTACTCTTTCCAGTACTAGTTCTTTTTTCCTTACTTAGGAGGCCATAGTAGGAGGAGGATTGTGAGTTTGCAGCCAGCCTGAGCTAAATTCCAAGAGCCTGTCTCAAAAAACAAACAAAAATTTATATTATTGCTTAATGTATCTTTGGAAAACAGATAATAGTATATCAGGCGAGTTATTTAAAGGTATTTTATCTGAGTGGAGGTTGAAAACCGAGGCTTGTTCCAGTCAGTGCTGCTAAAACAAATTAGCTCATGATCACAGTAAAAGAATATGAGAAAAGATCCTGAAATTAATAAGCCATTCATGGGTGTTCAGGATTCCTGAGAAAATTGTGAGCGTATTGAATTAAACTAAAGAATTATGCTTTTTGACCATGGCAGGGCTCTCCTGATTTAGTAATGTAAATCAGCTCTCCTGTTTGTCAGAGGTCTCTTGTGTGTGTGCATTGGTGAGGGGAGAGGCAATGCCATCAGGAGAGAGCAGGGCCTGCACACGTGCACAAGCTATCAAAGGTCAGTGGCCACTGTGGGTCTGATGTTCTTGCACCAGGAAGAAAAGCCACTATGGGAGCTGGGCTTTGCTGACCCAGACCAGTGATGGTGTTAGAGACCAGGTGCCCAAACTGCAACACAAGGCCCATTTATTTATTGCAAAATGCCAAGGCTAGAATGAAACCTGTATACTGAGGTTTTAGTTTAGAAAAAACAGCTGTTATCTGATGCTCAGCTGCTGGGGCAACTTGGCTCATGTGCCAGCAGTGAAAGCATGGGGGCCGTAGGTTCACCATCACTGACCTGGACTTTCCTACTGCAAACACTTGTCAGGTGCTCATGTGGAAACACAGCATGCTGTTTAATGACTTGAGTTACAACTCTTTCATTATAATATGTGATAATTAAATAATTCTCTGTTGTTACTGTGAACTTTCTTTTTTCCAAAAGTTCCTTAATTTCTAAATTTCTATTAAGTGAATGATGCCTTCTATGGGTAGAAATATTTTCATCACAGTAAATTTAGGTATATTCCAAGGCTTTAAAGATAATTTAATTTAGTAACTACTGTTTACAAATGATAAATTTGAGCCAGGTAAAATTATGTGTTTGAATATTGTTATATAGATTAGTGAAGAACATAAAGCTACATGTCCTCTATTCCCCTTGCTATTCTGTGCTGCCCCCTCTGATGAATTGCATGCACGCACTTTTTCAGTGTGGTTTCCAGGGTCCTCTTGTTCTTTGGAGGATTGATTTTCTTAACAGTCCTTATTTCCAAAGCTCAAATTACTTCTGAACATTGTTCTGGATGAAAGAACTGAATTGCTTTATTTCTTGTTACCTTCTGTTAGGACCTTACGTTGGGACCAACCTTTTCCTGCTGTTGAACAAAATTTTATCTAACAGTTGTGTCACTCCATGGGAAATTAGATTTTAGATCTGGAAATCATAAGCTGCAGATTTAAGAGTATGAGCAAATGTTAATGACGTAAGCTAAAATAAACTGTACTATAGTGATTTTTTATCTGTTGCTCATTTGGTGTTTTTATATTTTAGGCAGAAATAGAGAACCTAAAAAAAGCTGTCTTACCTTCTTGAGGAGCCGTGGTTCCACTGTGTTAATGTCCCAAGGATTCAGAAGCAACACTATGAATTCAACTGACTTGTACTTTAATACATGAAATGCTGGTGTTGTGATAAAGAAATTACCACGATTTCAAAAGAAATTCGAGTATATGAACTATATCTATGGAAAAGTTAGAGGAAGGGTAAAATTTTATATATATATTTTGTTTTGCCAATATGAAACGAAGAGGCCTTATTTCTTACTGTGCTGGGATTGCAAACATTTTTGTTTGTTTGTTTGCTTGAAAATACTACTGAGTCTGTATAAAAAGGAAGAAAATTCATAATAGTTTTTTATTGAAACTTTAGTATTATTTTTAAAGAGATCTATACTATAAATATGGTGATATCTTTCCAAATAATCTGTAAGATAAACTATTTGAGAAGGATAAATTCACTTTATAGTAACTATAGTCACTACTTTTCCCATAATACATAAGGGATATAACTATGTGTGTGTACATATATACATATATATATATATATATATATATTTACTTTAAGCTTCTTATCTAGGATGACACTGTTGTGCCTGTTTTGTCTGCAGTGCTGTTTATATTTTGGGTGGTAAAATCAGTTTCCTAGTTAGAAACCAGATTGATTACTCACCCAAGCATATAGTGATAACTAACGAAATAATAAAAACAATTTCAACTTTTATAATTTTTTCTATTGCTTGCACTAATAGGATTCATAAAAGGAATTTGATTAAAATGTATTGGATTGTTAAACATATTTGGGAAAATACAAGCTTTATTTTAAATTCAACCTGAAAATACCCATTTAATGGTTTACTTGTGCCTAAAACTGCAGCTCATATGGAATATGCAAATACCAGCCTTATTGCTATACTTACTGTCTTATGTTGTAGTTCTTCATGCTCCTGCCTGTTGTTGTTTTGCCTGGTTTCTTACAAGGACAATATTAGGAAGATAACTCCCAAGCTCAACACCTCAGGGCGAGGTTTCATGCTGGGTGGTAGTCACTGTGTGAATACTCAGGTTTTACGGTGTTTAATTTATCAGGTACTCCAAAGAAACTCTTGGAGAGGAGATTTTGGACTGTTATTTAATTGACCATATTAAAAAGACATCTTCATAGGTGTATTTAATGATTTTCCAATGTCTTTAGAGTCACCTATGAACAGTTGAACATACTAAAATATATCTGTGAGTGCTGTGTCTAAAAACTTCAGTTTGTTACAAATTTAAAAAAATTCATTATTCACAAAACAACTAGATTTTAGGTGGTATAGCTAGTGTGTCAGCTTTTCAGTACTAGTTATTACACTTTCATTTTTTGTCTTAAGCTATGACACCAGTATTTCTCTTTTCTGTTTTAATCTCAAAATACAGAAATTTTGTATAAATGATATTTTGTCATGTTTCAAATAAAAGAGAATTAAAGCAGAAGATAGTTGACATGCCCGTGCCCAATTACTTGCTTTCCATCTTGTTAAAGAAATTATATGGTCTTTTAATGGCAAGCCTTAGGAAAAAATAAAAAGACTTCATCATGGAACTTATCCTCCACTTCTCTTACTGGAGGACCTGTAGGTTAGCCCTCCCCACCTAGAAGGTTCTAACAGTTTTGGCTTTCTTTATGTGTTTTTGGTCATTGTTCACTAGTACTGCTGGAATCTGAGATGGTAGTGAGAACTGAAATACACACTTTTGCTTGCCTGCTCTCCAGTCAGGATAGATGACTCATTGAAATTCTGTGTCTGTTTTTCTGCCCTTTATAAAGATGTTAAGCAAACCAAGCACCCTCTAATGTAACAATTTACAAGTATTTGCTCTTGATCTGAGAACTTCTGTTACTGTTCTTGAAGTTCACCTCGCAAAAAATGATACTACAACTTTTACTAGGGTAGATCATTAATTTTGTCCTTCCTTGAGAATAAATAACAGAAAAAAAGGGACCAGCGTGGAATCTGTCATTGCTAAATTACTGTCTAGTTCAGGTTTGCTATTCTTTGAAGCACATAGTATTACTAACTTCCTGTTTGTACTTAAGTTTTTTTCTGTTTTGGATGTCTTTGTGACCTCTGGTCTTCTGTTTTCTTATAAAGCTGTTACCTCTACAGAATTTCACAGAACTTTGAAGTCTGAAGATACAGAGAGAATGGGCCTTCTGTAACAGATTGCTCTTTTTATGCCTCTTATTGTGATCACAGGAAAAAGTCCAAGTGCTTTGTAGATTTTTTTTGAGAAACATTTTATGCTTGCATTTAAACTTGAAATGTCTGAGCAGAATGAGACAATCAGTAAAAATCAGCCAGGAGAAGTCCTATAATTTAATGGCCTTGTTTTGCTGTGGCAACAAAATGACCAAGTGCAATGACTCAATAAAATCATCCTGTAAAAGTTGCTGCTATGAATATTAAAATTTTATCCTTTTTTTGATTGACTTGCCTTCAATAACTCTTAGATAATGCAGTTGATGTTGTGTAACATTCCAAAAAACGTGTATATATATATATATATATATATTCAAGATGGTATACTCACTGAGTTGTTTACAGGTGCTGTAACAAAACAAAAACAAAATAACAGCATGTTCTCTCAAAGAAAAGTGAATAAAAAATTGTATTGCCAGTTGTGTCTTTATTGGTTATTATTCATAAATTTCAGCATATGCTTAGAGTATGGAAATTATTACTTTGAATTTTTCACATAACAAATAGTAAAATAACAAGCTTTAGAAGTTCTAGACCTGTGCAACTTTTATTGAACAGCACAAAAGGAAATATGCTCTTAGGAATGACAACAGATTTATTTCTGAGTGTGTCATCTCCTGTAAAACTCCAACCCTTGCTGGATAATAGGAGTAACTCTGTGATCTATGTGAAGTACCTTGTAGAGTGCTTGGCATGGAAATAACTAAAAATATCCTGGGAGTTGCTATTTTACTGTTTTCAGGAGCATTTTACAGTGTTGGATAGCATGTTATTAGATAAAGAGAAAGGAAGCCTCTGTTAAATACAGCATCTCTTTCTCCAATCCTGTTGCTCAAGAGTTGTTGCCTCTCCTGCTGTACTTGGCTCAAACTGAGTATTGAGTTTACCAGATGAGGTTTTCATTACTGGAGATGAGCCAGTGTCAGTGTGAGAACTCTCTAGTGTTAGATTTTTCTATCACCTGCAAAAAGCTGATTAGAGGACCGGGGAGATGGCTCAGTGGAATAAGCGCTTCCCTGGCAAACACAAGGGCCTGAGTTCTATCCCCGGTTCCACAAAAAAGAAAAAAAAAAGCTGATTAGAAAGGAGAATGGAGTAGATCATAAGGAAACTGAAATAGAATCCAGAAGGTTCTGAATCTGCCCACAGCCAGCCCTCCTTGAGCCTCAGTTCCCCTCTCCTTGGAACCAGGACAGACTTGCTCATAAGCATGGGTTTTTGAACCCACCACTGAAATCAGCCTAGCAAATACTACAAAGGTGGATGGAGAGGGCAGCCGGGGTCTGGCAAAGCTCTTATCGGGGTGTGGGGCTGGTTCCTCCCTGTACCCCACGTGGGTGGCTGCAGACTTGATAGAAATAGGGTGTGTCTGGGGTGCTGGGCTTTTTTTTTTTTTTCTATACTTTTAGGGAAGGGTCTACAGGGTTCAGGGTCTCATTACTAGATTGGACTCCTAGTGATTCTCCTGTTTACAGCTTCCCAAGAGCTGGGATCACAGGCGTGCACCACCACGCCCAGTCTCAATTGCCATCTCTGCACGCCCTGGGGTGGGGAGGGGCAGCACAGCAGGCCTGGGGATCGAATCCCCGGCCCCTGTGCCTGCTTGCAGGCGGTTTAATCTGCTGAGCTATTTGGCCAGCCCTGTGCTTTCTGAAAGTGCTAAAGATTTGGAACCCACTTGGGCCACCAGGAGGAAGTGGTGTGGAGAACTGCCAAGACATTTCAGTGTAAACATCTCAGTGTAAAAACAGAGTTGCTTTTTATTAGCCTATATAGACATGAGGCAGAAGCGCAGCCTGGCAGACCTATGTGTTGGCTTCTGATTCCTGCATGCCCTTGTGTTGGGCGTTACAAATTGTCTAACCCAGTCCTTGTGCACTGGGTGAGTGTGGAGACATACCTTTCAGATTTAGTGCTATTCTAAGAAATAACAAGATGGCAGTTGAACTCCAGTTAATCTGTTGGAATTATTTTCCAGTGAAAGATTTAAGAGAGAGTGGGCCCTGGGTTTGAAGTATTTTTTTTAATTGTTTGGTCTTTTTGAGATGGTCTCACTGTGGAGGTCAGGCTGGCCTTGAACTCACAGTGATCCTCCTGTTTTAAGTGCTGGGATTACAGGCGTGCACCATGATGCCGGGCTCTGAACCTTGTGTGTATGTGGTACTGGGCCTTGTGCATGCTAGGCAAGCATTCATCCACTCAACTACATGCCCAGTACCCTGGCTCTGAATCTTAAATAGTTGTTTTAGTTTATTGTTGACCCCCCTCTGAATCTGCTTACTTCATGTAAAGACAGTAAACTTAGCAAAAGATACAAGGATTTTTGTATAGAGCCAATAGGGTTTTTTTTTTGGGGGGGTACTAGGGATCAAACTTCAGATTTTGTGCTTGTGAGGCAGGCGCTTCTATGTCCCCAGCCCCTAGCCAATAGTTTTTTCTATTATGCAAGTTCATGTGGATATTTTGCAGTTGTTGGATGGTATTTTTGCCTATTAAGAGTCCAAAGCCTTATTAATTTGCAGTTCCTTTAAAATTGTATTTATAGAGCTATTAGAAAGTGAAGTATTTTAAACGCATAAACCATTCTTAACCAGAGGAAATCATTTGGTAATATTGCATAATATAGTGCATTTTTAAGAAATAGAACTAAACAGTAATTGACCAGAATCCAATTTGATATGACAATAATGACATTTTTATTGGAGCAGGAAGCGCCCCCCCCCCCGCCCCCCGCCACTATATGTGAGTTGTCCAGGTAATAATTCCTGTTACGGTTCCTGTTCTGTTTTTAGAAACGGCTGGTCACTGATATATATTGTAAGAACCAAAGATAGCCTCTTATTTGCAACCCCATATAAACCTCCCTCCTTGAGCTTTAAGAGCTTGACATTTTTATGATGATTCCTTGTTAGTGCCTTTTGACATAAATCTGCCTCCAAATCCTGGGTGACATTCTTGGTGTTGCTGTTCGTTGCTGCATTGTCATGTTAGCACCTTTGTTTAAACATCCTGAGGTCAACCAGTGTATCCCGTGGAAAGTAGATTCTATAGATAAGAAAACACGATACAGTATTTCCTTTCAGATGAAATAACCAGTTTCCAATTAAAGTCCTTTCCAGATGCTTAGAGACTTGGACCAAAGTGAGGGATGCCCCCGACTGTCAGATACAGGTGCTGTCTCTTATTTATTTATTTTTTTATTTTAGGGAAGAGTCTACAGGGTGTTTAAGGTCTCCCTACTAGATTGGACTCGTAGTGATTCTCTTGTTTATAGCCTCACAAGTGCTGGGATTACAGGTGCGCGCCAACATGCCCAGTCTTGAATGGCGTCAGTGCACCCCGGGAACAGGGCTAGCTCAGCCAGCCTGGGGATTGAATTCCCTGCCCCAGTGCCTGCTTGCAGGAGCTTTTAATCTGCTGAGCTATTTGGCCTGACCTGCCTCTTATTTTTCAGGATATGGGGATGGAGCACTGGCTCGCGAATGTGTGGCAAGGGTCGCATCACCAAGCCGCGTGCCCCCCTTTGCCTCACTTTGAACCCAGAGTGGCCAGGCTGACCATGAACTTGTAATCTTCCTTTCACAGCCTCCCGAGTGGCAGAGATTGCAGGTGTGTGTCTGCAGGCACAGCACAGATTTCTTTAAAAGACCCATGTAATCATCCTGGGCCCAAATCCTGTGCAGTATGCTAGCAGAGAGATGGGCTGAGGTTGCACTCACCTGTGCCCAGAGCTGCGAGAAAGGAGACTTACCCTTCGGGGTGGCAGTGGATTTATTAAGATGGTGTTTTAGATAAATCACCTGTATAGTCCTCTCCCTTTTACTTACTTCTGCCTCCAGCAAATTGCTGACGGCGTTCAGTGGGGGGTGTAGATAAAAGTTTCTTTATAGTATTGGCAAATATCATTACAAGTATTTGTATACACAAGTGCTATCAGATGTCTAACAGACAAAACAGTTATTCTAAAGTCCTGATTAAAACCTGTATCACAGGATGTATGTCACCATCTGTTAAGTTATGAAGTTTAAGGATGAATGTGTATTAGCTCCTTAAAAACTAAAAAAAAAAAAATAATTACAACGTAAGTAGGAAATGCATTTGAAGTTCTACCACTGAAAAGAGACAACCAGGCCAACAAGATCCTTGCTGTTTTGAGGGATGGTGGACAGGTTTCTGATTCCTTCTGTGAATCTAGCGTCACTTTATCAGCTAGGCCTGATCGTTGTAGACCATCTCACTCATAAAGATGTATAGGAGAATTACAGGTCTTTGTGCAGTATGTAAAGTTCAGAGAGAAGAAGGTTGCAGTGTGCTGAGGTGCACAGGGTCAAGTGATGCATCCCCAGCCCCACAGGTGGTGAGGGTTACCACCATTCCACCCCAAGGGCACAGCCAGCGGCCACTTAACGCTGGGAACGCAGCTTTGGCTTTGTGGACCACACTTGGGAACTGCTGAGCTTACAGAACCTGGTATGGCTCAGGCAATCAGCAGATGGTAGCATATGAATCAGGAAACCAAAATCAAGGTTGATTCTGGCTTCTTCTGGTCTTCACCTGCGCCTACTGGCTTCCCATCTTCCCCCTTCAAGC